AAACGGCTAGATTATTTTGATGGCGTTTGCATCAATGACTGAATTCAATTTGTAAGCAGATCGCCAAATCTTTCCCAAAACTACTTTCTTGTTAGTCTAACTAAGCGAGCAAGTCAAAATGTAGAAAGATGGAAGTCTTGTTTACAAATTCATTAACCTAATAAGTGTAACGTGACAATCACCCTTTCTATTAGAATAAGGCAAATGCAAATAATATAACCAGTCTAATACTGGATACTCAAGCCTCACAAGTTTGCCCACTGCATGCATGTATGTAATACAAATAGCTTATTTTCTAAAATTCCAAAAACGTTCGTGGCACACCTCAGAATCTCTTGCGGCACCCAGTTTGAGAAACGCTGCTGTATACAAAGAACTTTGTCATTAACAATAACATTTTACCACCTCATTCAAAATTTGAACTAGTCGTTTATGCATAAACATTTGGGTACACATGTCTGAATGGTTGTCGAAATGTGGAAAAATATAGTAGCAATTTCAAAGAATCGTCATCTATATCCACCGTTGTCGAATAGGATGCTGAAATATATATAACGGAAAAGACAATAATCAAACAAAAGGTTAGTTTTCGATTTAATCAAGAAAATGATGGACATCAGTGCCGTTAATAAATACATTTCAGAATACCACTGTTTTGACGAAACATATAACTTACATGTAGATGCCGAGTAAAATATTTGTACTTCATAGTCGCTTACTAGGCAGATTCAATCTCGCTTTCGTGAGATATCGCGTGCATCTAACAGGCAGACAGACATATATATATACCTATCAACATACTTACCGATTAAAATCGATAAGTAATAACACCCAATTTAAGCGTATGATCTTAGGTCCGGAGTGGCCAACACGAGGCTCGCGAGCCGCATGCGGCCCTTGCTCGCGGTTTCATGTGGCTCTTTTTGCCTTGGTTATTTAATACTTGCAACTACGTTATCATGCATTCCTTCTTTTACGTTGAAGATACATGAGCGCCTTTATTCATTTGTCATGCAATCGTCTATTATCGGCAAACGTGCTTTGTCTAACAAAGGAATTTCAATCCAGTGTTATGATTAATATTAAAGCAGCAGTTACTTTTCTAAATTTGACTGTAATACTGCCTAAATTATATTTGAATTACACTTGAGATCCTCAATGTTTCATTAATTTAAAATTTACAAATTGTTATTCCCTTCAGAATATTGACGAGTACTACAAACAATATACTGAACATGTAAACACTGATTCACACCGAACACTAAGCTTGGCTGAAACAAATCATCCATCATCGCGCTTCCAATAAGCAATTATCGTGATTAATTCCATTGTGTAGTAAGGTCAAACGCGCCGTTGTTTACGTAAAAACCGTGATGAACACGTAGAGCTGACTTGGCTCCGGGTAATCCGATTTTTTTAATGTGTATGTTGTCTCAACTTAGGCGAACTTGGTTGTTCTTTGACGATAGCACGAGACCTGCACACGCTACAAGTAATTAAATCAGTCAAATATAAGAATTCATCATACAATGAGTGTAGAAAGTGACCTAGAAAAACTGGGAAGAAACTGTATTTCAACCACAGTCTGGTGTGTTTCAAGTAATATCTGTCACGTAAGAACATAATTTTGAGCGACCATTCAAAATCCAAACTTGAGAAAAGATAACCAGAAATACACGTGTATTTCTCGGAAGTATCTTGTGAAATAATTGAAGGCTTCATATGAACTTGAATTCATATGATCATTGAAAAACTAATTAGACGGTAAACTAGCATGTCTAAATATATATCAAGGTAAACTCGCGATGTTTCGAGAGTCCTGCTGCACAGGTATATTTCTGTATTATTTTGTCTGACAAAAGTGAGACTTCCCCAGACAAGCAGTAAAAAACAATCAACTTGTTTATTTGAACCCATGACAATTGCACCTGTATGCTATTGCACCTATGGAATTTTTTTTGGTTCACGGATAGTTAAACCCATACTAACCCTAACCCATGGGTTTTAGCACCCGCATATAGATTGAACCCGTGGATATACGCATGGGCTCAAATGTACATGGGTTCAAATGTACGGTCACCCTTTCAACGAAATGGTAGGTATATTTGTGAGCTTTCGATCATGGTCTAACTTCTTCAAACAATACAAGATATAATTGTAAATATTAAAGATCCATATAAATTTAGTCTATTATTGAGTTTCCTATAACTGGATATGGGATGCTTATCATATCATCGTAGAATACCGGTCTAACTGATGTGGTTGGGTTGTGGTCTACTTGTGTAGTTTCCTTTGTTTGTTTTTGAACCTTATTTGTTTGTATTGTTGTTGTTTTTTTGATAGTACTGTTTGTCTTTTGGTTTTATATTTGCGTTAAGGCCACTTCCTCCGTTTGGAGTTTTAATCTTTTCTATTGATTCCCTGCTGTGGTTGGCGAGTCATCTTTTTGTTAATCCTGAAATGCTCTTTGTATTTCCTGTAGAGTTCGTGTCCTCTTGAATGAGGACGTTAACTCAGTGTGGAAATTGATTGAGATGGAAATGCTTGAACCCAATACTGTTTTCAAGCAATGCTTGAAGGAAAATTGAGCTCAAATTCTTATGTTGTGAAACATTTACCTTTAACATCTATACGAAATATATTAAAGAACTGGTATTTCTGTAAAAATGTGCTTTTTGATTGGAAAATGTCAAATTTTGATCAACCTATATGGTACAACAAACGCATTACTTATGCCAGAAACAATTTTTTATCAAGTCTTGGTATGATCATGGTATAAGAGCAGTAAGACACTTAGCAAATGTGAGTAATCTGTTTACTTATAGAGAGTTGACTGAAAAATATAGCATGCAATATAGTGTAGCAATGTAGAGTATGTAAATTATTATCGCATCACTGGAGTTTTACCTGACCATTGGTTATGCAATATTGGAAACGGTATTGATTTTAGTATATTAAGTGACCCTGAGAAAAATGTATCTCATTTTATTTCTGAAACATTCGAATCAGAAAAAGTAAATAAAAGTATCTTTGAAAGTTGAACCTGGTCAAATTTATATCCCCTGATAAATCAAGAAAAAATGGGCAGATCTTATTTTTTTAGAGAGTGAATTTAATTGGAATAAATTGTATATGAATATCTTTTATTGTACAATTGAAACCAAAATTGCAATCTTTTCATGTAAAAATGTTCCATGGTGCCATAGTACTAAACGACAGATTGTATAAATTTAAACTTGTTTCATCAGAGTCATGTGATTTCTGTCATCGATATGTCAAGGATACGGCATGAGTGACCTCGCGATACGCTCCAGTGAGGCAAATATAGCACTTTTATCATTTTCATCTCTTTCCGAGAACGACCACGTACTTAGAGATTTAAAATTTAACATCACATGACAGATAATAGTCCCGCCATCAGTAATTTCAAATTTTTATGCATGACTGACCCACGCTTTCAACGCTCCAGTGAACAAGGACGCGTCTTCAGTTTTTTTGCCGTTTTTCAAAAATTGATAACATGCTATTGGTTGAAATTCGATACAATGATTAAATGGACATGTTCGCGACTACCGATATGTTCAAGGATACTGCCATCGAGTGTCCTCGGCGATACGCTCCAGTGAGCAATATGGATTTTTACACTTTCATCTTCTTCTCGAGAACGACACTACTTAGAGACTTGCAAATTTACATCACATGCAGATAATAAGTCCCCCATCATCATTGCAAATTTTATGCATGACTGACCACGCTTTCACGCTACAGTGAGCAAAACGCGTCTTCAGTGTTGAAACTACCAGCCACTTTTTCTATGATTATATAGTTGTTCAACAGCTTTGGGAAACTCTAAACATGTGGATATACTCAAAAACAGGGATTAATTTTAACTTTTCAAAGAGAGATTGCATGTTGGGATATGTTTGTAACTTTTATAACAAATTGTGTAACTGTATACTTCTCGCTGCTCGGTTTTATCTATATCGTTGTAAGATACAGAAAACGAAACCACTGTTTAATGTTTTCACCTCATATCTGTATGAAGTGGGGGAAATTGAACGATTCATTGCATATAAAATTGGCAAAATAAAGAAACGTGATCAAAAATGGAAAATTTTATGATACATTTACTGATAATTTTATATGATGAATTGTGTATTGTCCATGATTAGTGATTGTTGTAGATGTACCGATCAACTGTGTTTTATATATTAATAAATATATACAAAAAAAAAGAAAAGTAATCAAGTAGGGAAAATCTGTTGAAACATACGCGTAAATAAGGAGTACTATTTAAAAATACCCGCTTGTGTTGCAATTACCGATACAATATCCCTGGGAAAGAATGCATGTTTGTTTCCATGCCAATGCATTTCGAACTACCAAAGACCCTCAACACTTTTGCTTCTTCTCTTCTATAAAAATACATAGATTTTATATATTCGCATTTCCATCTGCTTGTTCGTGCTCCCAGATAACCGATCCGTGGCCTCAAAGGAGGCCGGAGTCCCATTTTAAGAAACCCTGTCATAAACTAAAAGAGGCGACCGTGTTTTTCTTGCCTGTTGTCATGCTGTCCCTCGAATTCAGCTACAACAAAAAAATCACGAAAACGGGTTTTAGATTTTATGATTTCATTAATATTCTCGACAATGAATGATATACGGGTGGTAAAATGCCAAGTTATTCCAACAACAGGATCATGTTTTGCAATTTACAACCAATATTATAACTTTGTTTGACAGAGCTCCAAGAGATCTAACTACAAATATCAAAAAGTGAGGCCAAAAAAGTTACACTACAACATAGTCAAATGTGCTGTATTTACGACAGATAACAGGGTTACCCAAAAGCATTACATGTAAAATGGTAAAATAAAGATTAATTCAGCAATATCTACTTAGGACTTGGTGATATGCATCTGTTGATGATTTTATGTGTTTGTTTCGGAAGTTTAATGACAGAATCAATTGTGGTTGTTGGGGATGTTTCAAAAAAAGATTGAATGAAAAAAAGTTTTCACGAAATGTCAAGGTTTGAGAGTAGTAGAGAAGTAGAAAAATACTCCCATGTTTTCTTTATTTGATAACCACGCCACAGGACTTCTCCGAAAAATATACACAGCAATTGCGAGAGGCAGAAATGCCAAGATGGGATTTCATCGCATTACAAACCAATATTAGCGATTCTTAGATACATTCGCGCATTCCCATCTGAACTGCGTGGAAAAGATTATACCTACCTACCTACATAATCAATCCCGTGAAAACTTTATATATAGTGGAACATGAGAAGTGAACTCTGTTCTACGCGAATTCAAATTTGATAATCAATGAATCTTCGTTCCAGAACGCATCAAGAGCTACCTGGCACGCACGGAAGTACGTTGTGAAATACGTCACTTCATTGTTGTGACATATATATTTCAAGAACACATATGCCGAGTCTTAATGTTTGCACTTATGTATAAAAGCCCTAGTAATATTGGATAAAAATAAAACGAATGCTTTTGGTGCTATTCGGACTCGCGGTGTAATCAGATTTAAGAATAAAAATGTTACTTTTCAAATCATAATAATGAAGACAATTATCAACATCAAAATCGAATAAAAAAATGTAATCTCGTTCATTAGAATTACAATTTAGAGTTTTTTCATGCATACTATGTTTATATTTGAGACAAAAAATTGTTCAAGAGTACAACACAGTATTAAATTTACACGGGCATCAGATCGATGTGTTTTTTAACTGACACTAAACAAACTTCATCATGCGTTTTGTTCTTGCATATTAATCGAAGATTCAGTGATGCTGTGAATTATTATGCTATACAAACTCAATGTATGATTCTCAAGTAAATGCAAAAGCGTTTACTACTTTACTGTACTTTTCAGGACGCAGTTAGAGTGACAATGCCCTGATCCTCTATTCACCATGTGATATCCCGAGGTAAAAAGTGCAACAAAAATATCTTGGGTAAATTTTTTAATGCGATAACACTGATATTTGCCTTAATATATAAGACTACGTATGTATTTAGATGTGTGCCGAATATAAATTTCATATGCATATATATATATTTATATAATTTTCCGTAGTATTATTCGGAGTTGAAGTCAATTGGCTGCATTACAGTGCAAACCGAAGACTCTAAATAAATATCACTCCATCTGAATCCGATATCCAACAAACGGTTATGAATACGAATGATGTCATCAGCTGTGGGATATTGAGTTGAAGTATGAATCCAAGCGTTCTGTTTACCTGTATAAGATCAGAAATCGAATCTGTTAAATATCCACATAAAGCCACCTTAGTCACCTACTTCCCTTCCAACCATCTCACAGACAAATCGATTTTCTAGGTCTCATTGCTGCTTGTGAGAAATATTCTTACCTTCAAAATCACACTCAAGTTCAAATAGGTATGTTTTGTAATCAGTCAGATAGGTATGCTGTTTCGTGTAGTCGGAAAGCCACTCTAAAAAAAATTTGCGATTTTGCGTCAGGTAATATTCATTCTGTAAGCAACCCTTGTTTACTGTCTCGGAGTTCGAATGATTTTAACGTACAAACATGAATAAAAGGAATAATACATTTACTGCCCTAAACGAATCTTCGAAGTGTGCATCCACGATTTAGACATAGAATACTGAAAACAATATATAAATTACTTATATGGTTTCTTTCCTTTTTCCTTTCAGTCTCTTCACCGATAGGTGAGAATGGGTCTTTTTCAGTGTCTGTGATATATATGTACAAACTTTTAATTCCATTTATTCCAAATATTAGAGATTTATTGAAATGAAACAAATAAATCTAGTTAAAAATAACACCATAAACAAATGTTTTACTGTGCCGGATGTGATTGGTTTTACCAAGGTATGCCCCAAGTACTCGAGTCTTCAGTTTGTCGCAGTCAAATTTAACAAACTTAGAAATCAAAATTTTCATTTCCACTAAGCTCAGATCCGAAATGGGAATTGAAATTTCTTCACGTGTTGAGTCAGAAATACAATTTTAATTAACTCAGAAAATTAGTCGGATTTTTGATAGGATTTGAGTAAAGATTTAGAGAAGAAAATGTTTGCACTCCTTTCTAAGGTTGCTCATGTTAAATTTGGGAGAAAATAAAGCAACATTTTATTTAACATTAACGATCAAGTTGCCTTACCCGATGTTGGTTCCCAGATGTATCTTCCTGAGGGTTGAAGCTTGTTATGTATTGTGAAATTATTCACAATTTCAGAATTTCTATGACAGAAAATAAAATAATTTGTAAAATCAAAAACAACGGGTTTGAGCATAAAAATTTTTGAAAAGTCGTATTTTTAGGACAAAATTCCGTCAATTAAAATATGAATTTGAAGATAATTCAATTCATTAATGATCCCATAAATAAACCGCATACTAATTCACAGCTACAATTCGGGTTTAACTGCGTGTGTATTACTACCATTTTGATGAACAGAGTCAAACAACACAAACATTTTTACTGTTTGTTTGGATTTTTCTATTAAGACTCATTTATGTTTCCTACAAGCCGCGAATCTTGTAGCAAGGCAGAAATAAAGGTACATAAACAAAGCGTATACTTTCTGTATATTTGGTTGTTAAGTCGTTGATTTAGAAATTTACTATTTTGGGTAAAATGAATAGCACATTATCTTACTTGAACATTTTAAAATAAATATCCAATCCTCTGTTCGTTTCTTCTACATCAGAAATAACAACACAGACACCCCTTTCTGGTCCCGCTATATATATTACGTAACGTAGTGTACCAGTTCATTCCTCGAAGCTGGAAAGGTAAAGTATATCAAAGCATTTGCCAATATTTTCGTATATACCATAAAAGCAATTCAATTGTATTGAATTTATACGAAGAAATCTTTGTTTTAAAAATAGTTTTAAAGTAGGATTGTTTCTTTCAGTTGAATTGGTCTCAGAAAATAGATCTCAGCAAGAGTGTGGATCAATTGATGTATATTTCGTGGTGTTCATTCTACTCTTCTCAGATAATTCAACAAAGCTTATACTTTGAGAATTAATATGGACTTTGTTAAACCATTCACTCCAAGAGGTAACTATGGAGAAACTAAGAACCTGTTATTCTCCTCACGTAAAAAATAAACGTATATAAAATTACCTGTGCAAAATTGATTTTGTTTGTAACAGGCAACCTGCATTCGCTATCTGCATGGGATGCAGCTTCTCCAACATATGTTGCTAGGCACACCGCCAAAATTGCGACAATGTTCATTCTGGAGATTAAACGAATGTAGAGATCTGACGACAAACTTGTGATATATAAGATTCCGTAGAATCAACTTTTTTATTTTTTAACGATGATAAATGAACAGTATTAAGATGCAATCCAAGTATTATTCACAAATCAAATAATTTTAGTTTGCTATGCAAGATAATAAAATATTCAAAACGATTCTCATTCTTTACTTCCTCGAAGAAAATGCTTCACTGCAAATAACTACAGCATTTATAAGCATAATGAGCACAATATTATGCTTTTTTCGCAGTTCACAATTCTATGTCCACAAAATAAGTTGCAAACCAAAAATGTTATTATGCCTCCTTTTTATACCTTGCACACATGAATATCTCACTGTTCACAATCAATATGTACAAAACAATCGTACGTGGAGACTAAGATGGACGTTTTGTTTTATTGTTTCGCAATATATACTGCAAGTTCAAAATTCAAGCCAGCCTATTCGCTTGATATACTAAAGGTTGAAACATGTACATTGTGGGCCAAAATATGTTACCAGTTTTTACAATTTTTGGCCCACGCTATTGTACTAAACTGCCATCACTTGCGCGAGAATACGTGCACTATATTTCTGAAAGTGTGATTTTATTTAAACCAATTTTGCTGTCCTTGAGTGGACAACGTGGAGAATCTCTGTGTGAATTTTGACCCGCTTTGGTGATAAATTTGTGGAAAACAGAAAAACAACAACTTGTGCTAGATTATATTCTCTCCTTAATATGTCCTTGTTGTACCCAAATCTAAGGCAGAGCTATTTGCTAAAAGAGAACGGACACGCTGAGTGCAAATTGTTTTAAAACATTTTTTGTATGATAATGAAACTTGAGAATCGAGAAATCTAAGACTCTGAAACACATCAAATTCTACCTGTCACGAACGGAAGTGCGTTGTGAAATACGTCACTTCATTGTTTACACATATGTATGAGAATTCGATGAGAATCAAATTTTAGGGTGAAAATATTATTGAACTTCAGATGTATAATATTGAAGATATTTATCAACATCAGAATTCAAAAGAATAAAACAAATTTTTTTTATCTCTTCCAATAGAATTACAATTTAAAATTTTCGCCTGGGAATTATAAATTGACTATTCACGAAAATCCCACATACATTGGCTACGGAAATATATTTTCAGGGCATATGCCTATGTTGGGATTGAAAATTTGTTACATACCCAATTTTTTCATACATGTGAATAAAAATTCAGCAAAACCGTGAATTGATATGCTATACCTATTCAATGCTTCTTGAGTTAAAACATAAGCGTCTATGACTTCAACGGTATTTCCGGTATGCGGTTAGAGCAGTGGATCCTAAACTTTGCAAACGCATCAAACCTCTGCGTTATTATGTATGCTGCTGTCGGATCCCGATCGCTTGAACAGTTAAAACCAGGGGCGCAACCAAAACTTTATAAGGAACATAAATTGCAACAAGAGAACTATTAATTGCACATAGTCATCCGACAATGTGCCCATGTTTGTTAACAAATTTCTCGTTTTTCGGACAAACTAGCAACCACCTGATCATTGTGATGTCCATACACTCCATCGAAATAACCATTGTTGTGCCACAATGGAGTCGCGCAGGCGACTTATTGGAAAGATGTTTTATGTTGTATAACTCGTGTGGGTAGAAAGGAAAAAAGGCAACTTTGGAGATATGAAAGCTCAGACTTCAGTTCAGTTTTAAATCTGTTACTACTAAGTCGTTGTACGCTCTGCATATTTCCGTCATTTGAAAAAAATATTCTCAAATGCCATATATTAATGTCAATTTCGGTCTCCGACTGAATACTGACTATATTATGTTCAGATCAGTCTTTCGCATTCACTGGCCCATTAGGTCAGTATTATGAAATTTAGTAAATATTCAGGGATGACTTGGATAATGTTTAATTGAGTATATATTTGGTTCGTCACCTATTCTGTAACAATGATGTTTATATAAAAGCAACTTAACGTTGATAGTCAATTGGCATATTCGTGCATGTGCGTTATAGAATCTTGTGACCTGCTTCCATCTAGTTGCTTCTCTTCGGAGTCGATTTAAAACATAGAAAATTAAACCGTAGGTCATGGGGCAATTGTTGAAAAGATTAGCATTATGGTACTTCATTGAAAAGTTGTATGTACTTGATGTTGCTTTTACCAGTTATATTTATACCACTGCCTACTTCGAATTTCCAGTTATCAACATCGTTTTGTGCAAATCGAAGTCTTATCATAACATTTCAAAGACGTAATTGAGCAATTTCTGCATGCTGGTAATTTTTCATGACTGCGAAGAACACCAATAGCACAGCGCAAATACCGGTATTTGCTAATGTGTATTTTGTAATGTGCTCAAAAATTTTGTTCTTACGTGACAGATATTACTTGAAAACACACCAGACACTGTGGTTGAACGTTGTTGTGTGAAATGAAATACGTATCTACCCAGTTTTCTAGGTCACTTTTTTACACTCATTGTATGATGAATTCTTATATTTGACTAATTATATTAGTTGTAACGTGAGCAGGTCTGTTGCTGTCGTCAAATGACAACCAAGACCGTCTAAGTTGGGACAACGGAAACATCTAAAAAAGTCAGCTCTGCGGTTCGTCACATAGCCAAGGCTTGGAACTAGAGGAGTGTTCCTACTAAAAAGAAGGCACAAAACGTGTGCCCAATCGAGAAGTCAAAAATCATGTAAACGCTATCCTGAAATCACTACTAGCATGCATTCTTAATTCATCATAGCTTATTATTGTTCCATCGTTATGTTGGCCAGAGCAAATTTTGACGTTAATCAATGAAGGCGCGTCTGACGTACTATACACAATGGTATTAATTACGATAATTGCTCAATTGGAAGCGAAATAGATGGATGATTTGTCTCAGTCGAGCATAGTGTTTGGTGTGGATCAGTGTTTGCAGGTTCAGTATAGTTTGTAGTACTCGTTAGTTATCTGAAGGGAATAACAATTTCCCAAAATACTCATTGTTGGATTTCTTTGTTTTAACTTTGCTATCTGTTCTGTAAAGGCTGATTAAATACCAGACAGACTTCACTTGAGATTCAGAAAATTGTTGCAGTCCAATTAAGAAATTCATAAGCAGTCAAAACACAGTTGAAGCTGGTGCGGTGCACTAAAGTTTGCTCTGGTCCAAACTGCGCGATGCAGAATTTCTTTAATATTACAATTATTAAAGAGAGATATGTAGAATAGAATACCTCCGTATTTTCATGTAGGAATAATTGTCGAATTGTCGATTCAATGGATAACGTTTTAACGCATATGACAAATATTACTAACTTTTAGGATTTCTAGAGTATATGGGGGAACACGGCAGTTTTGTGGCGATATTTTTTGTGAGCCCGATTCATGGGGTTCTGTCGTTAATTCCGACAAAAAGTGTTTCTCAAGGCTTTGATTTTCAGAATGTTTCCTATTGTTAAATTCCAGGCTCATATCAATAGATTTTGAAACACACATGGCTGTACCAGTTTGCTCAGAAGGTTGGTTCATTGTCTCTTCTTCCACTCGGGCACACTCGAAGATTGTGAAACGCGCCATCTTCTGTGGTGTCTGTAAAATTTTTCACGATGCCTCTTTAGACTGTCAGTCCTTGAAAATATTTTCCTACATTTATAACCCTTTTATATTTTCGTTTGTTATGTACGGAACTCTGCTGTGTCGTCATTATATCTTTTAATGAGATTTGCTTCAAGCATATTTCACATGTATGTTTATTCATATTTATAGTGTGATTTAGTAAGGATAACCTTGAACCAAATAATGCGCAGAATTTAAATACAGAACAGAATAAAAACTCTTAACAACATGTCGTACTAAACTTCATCATTACATTCGAACCCAGACTAACTCAAACTTACATCTCAAATAGTTTATACGTTCTAATTCAGACTCATGCATTCGCTTTCGATAAAGCACAGAACGAAATATGCTGATATTAACGATATGTATTATTTGGGAATGACTGGCATTGCCTGAAATCATACTGTGCTTTACCTAAAACATACTGTGTTATCAGGAATGCGCTTAACTTAATATAAAAATTACTGCTATACTATATTATGTTTTTAAAATTGCATGTTATTTACTTCAGATTAATTAAAACATATGAAATACCGGAAATATTACTTTCCAGACGCCTTTCAAGTGGATACGGCCTGTGTCGCGTGAACTTTTCAGGCAGACTCACCACTACCTCATCTTCCAACTCGTTATTAAAATCCCAGACGTAAACAATAGATGACGTCGATTCATATCTGACTTGGATTATTTTCTCCTCGCTAGAAAACCGATTTTGCTAAAAGATCGAACGTAAACAATGAATAACCCAGTCTAATTACATAATTACTTCTTAGTCAATAACTTAATATGGCGCTTCGAGCTAAACGTATCTGAGGTCGAGACCACTATAGGTATATAAATCACAAAGTTACAATCTCCCTTCCGATAGTTAGTACGATAACAACTAACAACACCTTCTCGGCGATTTCCTGCAACGAAAGTTATCTGTCTCGAAACCCCTCTCAGTCCAAGTAAATAACGCCCCCCACATGCAATATAATATGATAAATCGGCGCTCCCGCAGTGTGTGCTCCAAAATGGCGGACACCGGAACGTAGTATGTGTACCAGGTTAGGACATAATTTTATACCAATTTTCCTTATTCTAGTTATATTACGAGTTCGGGGACTAGCCAAGAGACTCCCGTAGTATTTGTACCTGAAATTAAGGCCTAACCCTATCCGCCATCTTGGTTCACATACTACATGAGCATCGGTATTTATATATACCGACAATATAACAGAAGGACCGATTACAGAACCGGAGAATCAGACGAAATAATGTTTTACTGTTTTCAAAGTTATGCGCAAATTAGGACGTTAGAAAATTTCGCGTAAATCCTACCCTGCCTAATTTCAGTTGCCAACGCCAGCTATACTATAGCACCGAAAAAGAAAAACGTTAACTTTGCACAA